TACCCTAAGGAAATAACTGAATAAAACAGTGTATGCACATGAATAGTCACAGAGCATTACACAGGAAAAAGTAGCAAAGAGCATAAACATTCAAAAAGAAACCATCTGAATAGACCACAGTGTATACATGAAATAGAATACTATGTAGTCATTCAATTTTATGTAGGTCTATGAATGAAAACATATCCACAGAATGTCGTCATAAAAATGTAAGATGCTGGGGAGGCAGGGCGGGGAGGGGAAGGGAAAAAAAAGTTAAGATACTATGGTAGTCTCAAAGATATTTTTGTCTATTTTCTATAACATATATTCCAATGCTACATCATATAATTTCATCCACATAGATTTCAGTATATATCTTAAAGGATAAGGACTCAAAAATAACCCATGACTCCATTTTTAAACCAAGCAAATTAACAATAATTTCTTAATACTGTCAAATGACCAATCTGTGTTCAAATATCTGTGCCTCAAAAAAATTTCACACTTTGCTCAAGTCAGAATCCAAGGAAGGGCTATACTTTGGAGATGGTTCCTATGGCTCTTAAATCTCTTGTCATCTACAGGTTCCTGCTCCCTTCTCTACTTTTCTTCTCTTTGCAGTTTATTTGTCGAAGGAAACAAGTCTTTTATCATGTCGTTTCCCAACCTCAGTATCATTTACTGTGCTCCTTTGCCCCCTGTATTTTCTCTGTATTGGTACTTAAATTTAACTACTGATCAGAGTCCCATTTTATTTTTGGACAGGAAGCCTTTGTAGGTGGTATTTCATTCTTCCATCAAGAAATACATAATGTCACAGGGGTCCCTATAGATAAAGTTTATGGTATATTAAATATTTATAAACAAGTCTCAGTTTTGGCAAATTGAATTTAAGTTTGTTTAGATTTACTTTTATCTAACAAGTAAATAGTATCATATCTTGTTTATCTACCGAGAAACATGCTGACAAATGAAGAAATGTCATCACAGGCGGATAGCTCACACATTTATTGAACCCTTAGCTTACCTCACCGCGAAAGCCATAGGTAGAAATATTAGCTAAATCCTCAAAGGACTGAAGTTTACTTGTAGTGAACCTCTCACATACAATATCTAGATCTTCTTTCTAGAAGATACCAAAAAATAAGTAAATTATTATATTACTCATTTTTTTCGAAATCCTTTTGAATCTCCCTCTTCTTGAATGAATCCAAGAAGATATTCCTCTGAGGCGAAGAGTTTCTAAATGAGCAGTAACTTGCTCACTTGGCACCCACAACACCACACTGGCCCGGTGCTCCTTCCTCCTGACTAGTCTCATTTCTGTCTCATTTGCTGGGTTCTGTTACTCCCTGACAGTGGAGTAACCCAGGACACCTCCCTTGGCCCTCTTCTCTACCTGCACACACTCTCTTGACAATCTTATCCTGTCTCATGGATTTTATAAAGATTACCAGTTTTTATAAAACTTCTTTAAAAATCTAGATGTATTTTACAGATATATTTAATTGTAATAAAAAATTATAGAGAAGAGGTTCTTATAAAACTCACTAAACCATGTTATCTCTTTGCTCAAAACCCTCTAACATCATTCCCCCTTAGTCAGAGTAAAAGCCGAAGATTTCACAACCACCTACAGGCCCACAGGCCCACATTCTGCTTATCTTTCAGATCTCATCTCCTGTTCCAGTCACACTGGCCTCCTTGCTGATCCTGAAATATGTTAGGCATGCTTCCATTTCCTGGTTTTTGCAGGTATCGCTCTCTTTGCCCACAACACTCATCCTTTAAATGGCCTCGTGACTCACTCCTTTGACCTCCTTATTCCCCTGCACAGGGCCCAGTAGAGAATAGGAACTAATAAACAATTATTGTTGCTGTTGAATTTTTCAGTCAAACAGTCCCATCCACTAAAGCCCAGTTCCTAGAACAGGGAAAGGTTCTGCCACTTCCTCACCGAGCACGCAAACATCCTGCTCCTCTGAGTCGGAGGTTCTACTTACCCTGATGCCGGTGCCATTGTCTTGGATCTGAATCAACTTCAGGCCTCCCTCTTTTACAACCACTTGAATACTTGTGCATTTGGCATCTAAACTGGCAAATCAAACAGAAAAAGAAATATCAGTCTGTAACTACCTGAAGGCACAAATTTTCCTATGAGCCATGAATAAAAAACAAAGTCCAAATAAATATAAGACTGTCTGATCCATGTTTTCCCTTTGTTTTACAGGCTCTGTGACTACACTGTTATGTTTAGAGAAAGGGGAGAGGCAGAAGGGGCTAATCATCATCTCCAATAGGATGATATTCACCACCATTTCTGTTCCTCTAGGAAAGTGATGTTAGATGTAGGTCCCTTCAGCACATGCCTTTTTCTTACCCTCTTCTCTACTACTTCAACCATCTGTTACTCGAACTTGATTGAGCCTCAGGTTCCTAAATGACTCTATTAAAATGTCGTTAAAAATTCTTCATGTTCCTCTCCACTTTTCCCTTTTCTTTCAGAAAATATATATTGGGGGAAAGAAAATATGGCAATGCAGAAAGTTCTTTAAGAAGCTAATGAATATTTTGTGCCTTCAGAGATTAGCCTACAAGCACAGAGCACCTGCTAAAGAAAACAGACTCAGGCTGGTGCTGTGTGAGAAAGATAAGTTATGGATTCCTCACACGGAAATTGCTTATTTTAGAAATAAGACAATTCGTTACTTAAAGACCTTTCTCAGGAGCCCCTGAGTTGAAGTTGTTTAGCCATCTTGACTTACATATTAAAAGGAGCATAACTGTATGTTCATAGCAGCACAATTTACAATAGCTAAGATTTGGAAACAACCTACTCGTAAGTGCCCATCAGCAGATGAGTGGATTGAAAAACTGTGATACATCTACACAATGGAATACTATGCCGCTATAAAAAAGAAGAAGCTGTTACCATTTGTAACAGCATGGATGGAACCGGAGGGCATTATGCTAAGCGAAATGAGCCAGTCAGAGAAAGGTAAGCATTACACGATCTCACTCATATGTGGGATATAATGATCAACATATTCTTTGATGAACAAGAATAGATTCAGAGACAAATGGCAGGGGAAGGGGGGTTAGAGAGCAACCAAAGGACTTGTATGCATGCATATTAGCAGAACCAATGGACACAGACACTGAGAGGGGGAGGGCGCCTTGCCTGGGGTGGGGATGGCTGGGCTGGGGGGAGGAGGGGAAAAGGAGACATATGTAAAACTTTAGAGCAGTGGTTCTCAACCTTCCTAATGCCGCGACCCTTTAACACAGTTCCTCATGTTGTGGTGACCCCCAACCATAAAATTATTTTCGTTGCTACTTCATAACTGTAATTTTGCTACTGTAAACAATATGTAATTTTATATGTGTTTTCCGATGGTCTTAGGCGACCCCTGTGAAAGGGTCGTTCGACCCCCAAAGGGGTCGCGACCCACAGGTTGAGAAACGCTGCTTTAGACGATTAAAAAAAGCATAACTGGATCCATAAAAAGTCTCTGCTTATGGAATTAATGATAAGCTACTGAGCTAATGTTTAGTTTTGTTGTACAGGATTCTGTCTGGCACAGTACAATAGGCCCAGCATGTTCAGTGTTCATTCTAACACTGCAGACACAAGCCAGCCTTCATGAATTAAAGTCAAAAGGAGAAGCCCGCCCTGGTTCCCTGTTCCCTCTATCGTCTGCCTCCTAATCCCCGCCTGGCCCTTGCCAGGCCTGTCGGACCCACTGTTCTTTCAGTCCCGCCCTCCCGGGCAGTTTGTTTTCACAACAAATCCCTTTAAATGTGCCCTTCTCCGCGGGGGCATTTTTTTTCTTTTAAGGTATGGGTTTCTTTAATAACAATTGACTTTAACACAAAGTTCTTACGCAATGTTAGGAACATGTCTTTTTTGAGGTTTACAGTTTACACCATCTTTCTTTCCATGTTTTTAACCTTTCCCCCCCCACACATTGTGTGGCATTTCCAAACTTCAGAATCCACAGAATACGCCATAAAAGGACAGGAAAGCACCAAGTGGGATCACTAATTTGGCAACAGGAAAATCACAAGTTAAACCCAGAGAAAGGTCATCAGCCTGTCCTAAAATCTTGACTATTTTTAATAAAATTCAAAATTTGTACTCTTGAATGTGCATGATTTTTTGGAAAAAGCATGTAACTGATAAGATGAAGGATGAAAGGAGATGTTTGGGGGCGGGGGGAAGGATACATATGTAATGCTCTTTGTAATACTTTAAGCAATAAAAAAATAAAAATAAATGCTAAAAAAAAGAGAGAGATGTTTCTCCCTCACTGAAAACTTGCATCTTTTGCGACTATAACTTGAGAGGCAATTCCTTTAGTTAATGGCACTATTAAAACGACACTGCGTAGCCCGCGGCGTGCGCCCCCCGTAAGCCTAGAAAAGTCTCGCGACAGCGCGCGGGAAGCGAGAAGGCAGGACCCCCAAAGCCTCCGCCACGGTGGGCATGCGCTGTACACGCCGCCGCCGAGGGCAGGGAGGCGTGTCCGCGCCATCCCTGCGCGGCCCGTTAGGTCGTAGCTTCTAAGGAGGCCCGGCTCGACTCCCTCCGTACCAGTTCTCGATCATCTCCTTGATGGCATTAGCCGGCCGCTGGATAACTTCCCCTGCCGCGATGCGGTTCACCACAGTCTCGTCCAGCCGCCGAATAACGCCCGCTACAAGCGACATTTTGGCGCCAGAGGAGTCCAGGTCACGTCGAGATGCTCACTGGACGTGCCGTCAGCCAATCACTACAGTGCTTCGTGCTTACGCTATTCCCTTAACTCTGTGTACGCGGCGCGGCCCCCCTCCCCCACCCTTTCCAGCGGCAGCGCCGTTTCCGAGCGAGGGAGCTACTGATTGGGCAGTTTGAACGTCAGTCAAGTTCCTTAGGTCCATGGGTTCCTGGGCCTCTTCGTCCCGCCCTAAAGCAGCTTCCGCCCAGCAGCGAGAAGGATTTGCGCTTGCGCGACAGAAATCACTGCCCGCTCTTTCGGCCAATCGGAACGCAGATGCCCTAGCGGGAGCTCGGTGTCGCGCGACTCGGGTGATCTTGCGCAGAGCGTAGGTGGCGTTTGGCGCTTGCTCCTACTCCGCCAGTCTCTCTGCAGCCTCCGGGAGATCTGCTCCGCTCTTCTAACCTCCGGCATCATGTGGATGACACCTAAGAGAAGCAAAATGGATGTGGAGGAGGCTCGGGGGTTCCGGCCCGAGTGGACCCAGCGTTATTTGGTGGTAGAGCCGCCGGAGGGCGAAGGGGCCCGCTGCCTGGTCTGCGCCCACCTCGTCGTATCCGCTAGCGAACGCGACGTCAGGCGCCACTACGAGGCCGAGCACAGGTACTACCAGCGGTATGTGGAGGAGGGCGAGCGGGAGGCCCTGGTGGAGCGCCTGCGGCAGGGCGACATTCCCGAGATGGTCCCGCCCACTCCCGAAGAGAGAGCGGCGCGGGCAGGCCTCGGCATCGCCCGCCTCTTGGCCCTGAGGGGTCGCGGCGGGGGTGAGGGGGACTTTGTGTACCAGTGCCTGGAGGTGATGCTGAATGATGTGCTGCCGGACCACGTAGGCGTCTTGGGTGGCATTGATTTATCCCCAGAGACCATCCGGCAGAGGGTCCTGAACATTAACGAGAACCTCCGCAGCCAGCTTTTTAACCGAGCCAAGGACTTTCGAGCCTATTCCCTGGCCTTGGATGACCAGGCCTTTGTGGCCTATGAGAACTACCTCCTGGTTTTTGTCCGCGGCGTGGACGTGGACTTGGAGGTGCAGGAAGAGCTGCTGACCATTATCAATCTGACGAATCACTTCAGTGTTGGTGCTCTCATGGCGGCAATCCTTGAGGCCCTGCAGACGGCCGGGCTTAGCCTGCAGCGGATGGTGGGACTAACCACCACCCACACCCTGCGGATGATTGGTGAGAACTCTGGACTGGTGTCGTACATGCGAGAAAAGGCTGTAAGCCCCAACTGTTGGAATGTCATCCATTACTCGGGATTCCTTCACTTGGAGCTGTTGAGCTCCTACGACGTTGATGTTAATCAGGTCATAAGTACCGTATCGGACTGGATACTGTTGATTAAGACAAGAGGCATCCGGCGACCCGAATTCCAGGCTTTACTAACTTCATCGGAGTCAGAGCATGGCGAAAGGGTTAATGGACGGTGTCTGAACAATTGGCTGAGAAGAGGGAAGACTTTAAAGCTAATATTTTCATTAAGGAGAGAGATCGAAGCGTTCTTGGCTTCGGTGGGGGCAACAACAGCCCATTTCTCAGACCCAGAGTGGCTTTGTGATTTTGGCTTCTTGGTGGATATTATGAACCACCTCCGAGACCTCAGTGAACTACTGCGATTCAATAGAGTCTTTGCTGCTACTGCATTTGACCATATTTGTAGCTTTGATGCTAAGCTGAATTTACTGCACAGACATATTGAGGAAAAAAATCTCACACACTTTGCTGCCTTGAGAGAAGTCGTTGATGAGCTTAAACAGCATATTAAAGAAGAAGACAAAATTCTTGATCCTGGTAGGTACAAAGTGGTGATCTGTCGCCTGCAAAAAGAATTTGATCGACATTTCAAGGACCTCAAGTTCATTAAAAAGGACTTAGAACTCTTTGCAAATCCATTTAACTTTAAAGCTGAACATGCACCTATTGCAGTAAGGATGGAGCTAACAAAACTTCAAGCAAATTCTGACCTTTGGGAGGAGTACAGAAACAAAGACCTGGGACAGTTCTATGCTGGATTGTCTGCTGAAACTTACCCGATTATCAAAGGGGTTGCCTATAAGGTGGCATCCTTGTTTGATAGCAGTGAAATCTGCGAAAAGGCTTTTTCGTATTTGGTTAGAAACCAGCACACTTTGAGCCAGCCGTTAACAGATGAGCATCTCCACGCCCTGTTTAGGATCGCCACAACTGAAATCGAGCCACACTGGGATGCTCTTGTGAGAGCAAGAAATCCTCCTAATCCGTAAGCTTTTGTAGTACAACACTCAACGAGAATCCAGTCCTAAAAGCAAAAATTTGACTTTTCAAGTTTACTCATTTGGAGCGTGAGAATGCACCAAGTTTATTCATTCAAATTGATAACAACTGAGATTCTTCTGACTTTTTTTTCTCATCTCAAGAGGCAGCATGGGACTGGAACATGAAACACCTCTTTTCAAACTTAATGTCAAAGTCGTTGTTGTCTTTTGCTTTTATGACATAATTGTTTTTAAAGAAGTTTAGTACTGATGATGTGAATTGAATTAGGAGTCTGTTTTTAAGGTGTTCTGAAGAAATTTTAGGTCATATTTTTTAAAAATGTTACAATTCTGATACATATAGTCTAAAAGTATCATCTCCTTAATTGTATGTTTGAGCCTATTTGCAGAAATTCACATAGCAAGTTCAGAAGTTCCTGAAAAGGAAGAACATTCAGTGGAGGTACTTGTCTGTCAAAATGTTTGAAACTTTTAAAAAACATTTGTGAGTCTGGAGTAAATATTGGCAGATTTCCTCCCTCTGACCTCTTCCCTATCCACCACAGTGATAATGATATTCCTAATAGAGGAAATAATCAAAATTTTAGGAGCAAGAATTATTATTTTTTTAATTTTTTATATATCTTATTGATTTTTTACAGAGAGGGAGGGAGAGGGATAGAGAGTTAGAAACATCGATGAGAGAGAAACATCGATCAGTTGCCTCCTGCACACTCCTCACTGGGGATGTGCCCGCAGCCAAGGTACATGCCCTTGACCGGAATCGAACCTGGGACTCTTGAGTCCACAGGCCGACGCTCTATCCACTGAGCCAAACCGGTTAGGGCAAGAATTATTTTTAAATTGCTGATTAGAAGGCTTCCTGCAATTTGGAGGTCAGACTAACCAATTATTGGAGGTTTCCCTGAATTTTTCACAATTGGGTGCTGTTTTACTAGTTCATCTATTAAAGGACTATGGTAAGTATAGAATCTTAATGATTGCCCATTAGTAATGTTTTTTTTCTATTGTAGACAAATGTTTGGCCCTGGCAAGAAGGATGAAGCAAAATATTTTTGCACTGCAGGATCAGGAGGTGTGAGATACTTTAGCTTCTTTGTCCTATCTGCATGGGTGTTACTGCTTTATAAAGAAATCCTGCTTAAAGGGAACTTTTTACTTTATAGTGATAGACCAGATTTTGTTAGCTGATAGAAGTGCATTTATTAGAGATTTTGAAGCTGCCCCACATTCTGTATTTAAGACAGTGCACAAGTAGAAGTATTTAACTCAAGAAGCAGCTTTATTCAGATTTTAGGAATTTCATATTTCTAGTGAGCCATCGGCTTTGTGCTAAAACAGTAATTTTCAAACTTATGTTAACCATGAAAAGGAAATCGTACAGTAAAGCCAAATATGTAAAATGACTTCCAAACAGGACCCAGTTTATAGATCCTCAAGTACAATTTGTAAACGTGTGCTAAAGTCCTGTCTTAACTATTGTTACACATAATTCTATGGTCATTAGTCCAGCAAATTCAAGGAACCAGGATACAACTAGGAATTGAGAAGGAACTGATGCCTCAGCAATCAAAATAGTGCCAAAAGAACCAACTTGTGTCAGTGGTTCTCATTCAGAGGCAGTAAACCCTCTTTCCAGAGGATGTTGGGACATACAGGGGATTTTTTTGGTTGTCCTAGTTGGTGGGGGGTTCTGATGGCATTTAAGTGCATAGGTCATCCTGGCACAGGAATCATTCCTCTCAAAGTGCCAGTAGGACCCCCCAGTGTAGATTATTTTATTTTGAGGGACAGGGAAAATTACCGGTAGAAGCAAAATTAGAAGAACAAGTTGGGCAAACTTGATAGGGGAGACCATTCCAACATTCTGAGTTTGGCTGGTAAGGTAAAAGCCTCGACATGTTCCGGTAGCTCACAATAGCATTTATAAATCTGTAATCAATACTGAACCAGATTAAAGGACTCTATCTGTTATATATAATTCATTGAGGACAGAAAAGCAAGTTTTATAACAAGATACTTGTCAAGAATGGTCAAGTTGAGATTTTGGTAAACGGAGTAGGCTTAAAACAACACAATGAAAATCCAGCCAAACAAACAAATCTACCAGTAATTTCCCAATAGTTTGGAGTATTCTCTTTCATGGCAAGTGCTTTATTGAAAGAATGACTAGAATACCTGAAAGCTGCTTCTGCTTTCTAACCCTGGTTCCTCAAATATTGAAGTCTTGTACATTTTGTGAAGTTCTAGTATATATTTTGCTTACAGTAATAATAAAATTAGTTTGCATCATATAGTCATTGAGTGGGTGGGGAGGGGAGATATAAGTAAAGGATTTTAAATTGACCATGATTAATAGAGAATTTGCTATAAACTAGTTTTATTCGTAGAAGAAAAATGTGTATTTTACTGTTTTCTGTGTTAAGTAATTCTGTAAGTGCATGGCAGGTTTTTTTTAAAATATTTTTTAAAAAGTAGTTGTTACTGGTCTGTTGTGTCAGTGAATACAGTTAAAATAAGTACTATTTTTTTAAAAAACTTATGTCTCTATATTTCCCATTCCTACTAGTTTTCTTTAAAGATTTGTCTGTACTCCTGTTGTCCCACATTGTCACTCAAACTGCTCAATCAAGCTCACAAAGTTTTTGTGAATATTCTTACCCTCTGATACCACCACCGACCACTGTCCTTGAAGTAGATGTTTACTTGGCTTCGGGGAGATACCGTCTCCAGGTATGCATGCTCAGTCGTCTTTGCAGGTACCTCTTTCCCTTAAATATCTGTGTTCTTGGGATAGTTAAGTTTTCTTATTCTCCATCATCTTAACTGATCCCATTTCCTTTCGTGGTTTCACGTATCACCTATATGCAAATGACTCCCAAATTTCTATCTTCTCTCTAAGCCTTTCCTAACTCATATATCTAATTTGCCAACTTACGTCCATTTTGCTGTCTCAGGCAGCACAGTAAGTATGTCATTGATCTTGCCCCTAAACCTGCTTCTGTCATGTTTCCCTTTTGGTAAATGGTACCACCACTACTACCCATTCAGTTGCCCTTGCCTAAGCCAAAACCTGAGTTATCCATGACTTTCCCTCTTCATACATCATAACATTCACAAAAACCTTTCTGTTAAGTCCACCGTCTACATTTTTCTTAATTCTCCAGTGCTACTCTTTGAATTCAGGCCATCAACCTACCTAAATGATAGCGACAGCTTCCTCATTAGTCTCCCTTTCTCTGGTTTTGATCCTTTTCCACACTGCAGCCAGATTGTTCCAAAAGGCATATCTGGTCATATCACTCCACTGCTTTCACCATTGCTGTTAGGATAAGATAAATTTCTGTTCATCCTTCAGGTCTCACTTTATATACCACTTCCTCTAGGAAGCCTTCATTGATGCTCACTAGACTATGTGCCCCTTCTACGCCCTCCCTAAGTACCTTTTTTTCCCCCCAACCATACACTTAAAACACTAAATTGTTACTTACTTAACACACTTAATTGTTACTTGTTAATAATCATTGCTATATTGTAAGCTTTATAAGGGCAGGGACCTCATGCCTTGCTCAATGTTATATCTGTAGTGATTAGCACAATGCCTGGCGTTTCAATAAATGTTTGAATGAATAAATGTTTGTGTAGTGTTTTACAATCTTGGAAGCCCTTTCACAGTCTCATTTGACCTTCACTGTGGTCCTCTCTTAGACTGCTCACTAGATAATTGTTATCCACATATTACAAATTAAGAAATGAAACGAAGTTCTTTGTGACTAAAAATCACATTGTATTCCCAGAATGTAGCTCAGTGGTTGGCATGTGGCTCAAATATTTATTACATGAATGTTGTTGGGGGGATATTTAGATTGCCCTAGTAAACGTAAGTAGTAAAGCCAGGATTCAAATCCAGGTATGCTTACATAAGTCCACTATGTAATATTAAGTCATTACCTTCTTGATATAGAAGTCTTAATATATATTCTTTTAATTTCTAAAGGAACCTGGATGAAAAATACTGGACAACTATGTAGTGGACTAAAACAATAGTTAAGTAACTAAAAAGTTACATCTAGTATCATAAAAAGATAATTCTGCTAGCGGGTTTGGCTCAATGGATGGAGCGTTGCCCTGCGGACCGAAGGGTCCTGGATTCGATTCTGGTCAAGGACACGCACCTCGGTTGCAGGCTCCGTGCAGGAGGCAATCAATGGATGTGTTTCTCACATCAATATTTCTTGCTATCTTTCCCTCTCTCTTCCACTTTCCCTAAAAATCAATGGAAAAATATCCACTGGTGAGGATTTAATAAAAAAAAAAAAAAAAAGGGTTAATGTCCATTTTCCTGTTGTAAGCATCAACCCTGGGAGGAAATAGCATACTATTTATTTGCTATTTTTCTTTACAAACAATTTCTGGCTCTTGGATTTAAAAGTAAATAAATTTAGCAAAATATTAGAGAAGTGACTCAGTCAGCCCTCCTGGTGACTAACTATTTAGTTCACTTGCTTTTCTACCTGCAGATTGTCCTGGACTCCTCCTCAGTGAAGCTAACTCAAAAGTGACATCTAGCCAACAGATGATGGGAGAGCCATACCCTTAGAACCTTCTTGAGCCATGTTGTCCAACTTAAGGGATTAACTAGTGTTAAACTTTTAATTGGATTTTAATCTGAGGCACGTTACTCTTTCAGAGATCTCAACAGTAGGTATGATAATCAGTGATTTCACCCTTGCTGCAAAACTGCATTTTAAGCAACCTTTGGATTAAAGCATTTCTCATTTTTTTAAAATAAATTTTTACTGATTTCAGAGAGGAAGGGAGAGGGAGAGAGATAGAAACATCATTGATGAGAGAATCATGGATCAGCTGCCTCCTGCACGCCCCCTAGTGGGGATCAAGCCTGCGACCCATTCATGTGCCCTTACTCAGAATGGAACCTGGGACCCTTCATTCTGCAGGCAGACTATCCACTGAGCCAAACCGGCCAGGGCTCATTTTTATCTTTTTGTAATTGAGAAGTGGCCTCATCCTAACTCAATAGGTAATTGAATTTGTGAATGTCTATTTCCTTGTATTTCTGCTTGGAAACTTTTCAGTTTATCTCTTTCCTGTCCATTTTGTCCAATGCATCCAATAGCAAGTATAACATACTTGTTTTCTTTAGTAAAGGGTACATTATTGGCTTTCCAGCTTCTCTCAAGGGGCAATTTCGCCTGGCCATAACAGGAATTGCCCTTGCATAAGTTACTTCTTCCATCTTTCAATAGCAGTGTCCTGACTACCAGCCAAGCCATTGTTTAGTATTTTATGTGTTATTGTCTTTTTTAACAACTAGTTTCTGTATAAGGAGGAGGTAGTTTGCCATAACAACCACAAAAATCTCAGTACCTCACAACTTTTCTTTCACTTAGGCAGGAACTTTGCCTTAGGTCAGGGGTTTACCAGGTTAACAGGTAAAATGTGTTTTGTGCTTGTTTCTATATAAAGTTTTATTAGAAGACAGCCTTGCCCATTTATTTGTGTATTATCCATGGCCACTTTTGCTCTACAAATGTCAGAGTTGTATAATTGTGATAGAGTGGCCCACAAAGTCTAAATAAGTACCATGTGACCCTTCATAGACAACATTAACTGATCCCTGCTCTTCAGTTGTCCTCATTGTGAGACTCAGGCCCACCAAGAAGATACCATTCTAGGGTGTGGTTGCTCATTTGGGGGAAATGAAAAGAGTATGGCAATTCACCCAGGTCCTTAAAGCACTTTCATTGGCTAAAGTAAATCACATGACCACACCAAAGTTCATGGAGTATCATCTTCCCATATGCCTGGAAGGAAAAACAAAATTATTTGGAGGACAATACTATTGATTAACACATGATTATATCTCTCCATTTATATAATTTCTTTCAAAATATATATTTTTATATTCTCAACCAAGAATATGTTTAGAGAGAGGAAGGGAGAAAGGGAAAAAAAACAATGTGAGAGAAACACCCATCAGTTGCTTTCTGTATGCACCCCGACTGGGGATCAAACCCAGAACCTAGGCACGTGTCCTGACTGGAAATCGAACCTGCAGCCTTTTGGTGTATGGAATAATGCTCCAACCAGCTGAACCATTTTTTTTATATGTGTAAGGATCCCGTATTTTTTCTGTGAACTGTCTACTCAAATCTTTGGCCCATTTTTCTATTGGGCTGTTGACCTTTTAAAATTTTTAGGAACTCCTTATGTAGTAGGGATATTAGTCCTTTGCCTGTGATATAAATTATAAATATTTACCTAGTGTGTTATTTTTTTCTGACTTTATTTATATGGGTTTTTCCCCCCATGAGAAAGTCGGCTTTTCTTATGCACCCTTAGCTGGATTGACTTATGAAAAAAAGAGAAGACACAAATGACTATAATCAAGGGCCTTTATGATTAAGGTAGAGGAATATTGCCTCCTGGAGTGTAAAAGGAGGTGATTCAAGAGCATATACTCTGGATTAATTGGTTTGCATATGAAAGGTACACTCAAAGGGGAATAGGAATTAAGTAGCAATATCCAGGAATTAGCCAGCCCTAGGTCGCTCAGTCTCTTGGATCAGCAAGGTCCCAGATGCCAAATCATCAAGAATACAGAAAATATGTTTAATACAAGAGGTACCTTCCATTCCTGGCAGGGGAAGGGTGAGTAGAGCTCAAGGATAGCTGACTTAGGCTTGCAGTTGCTTAGAGGACTCATTTCAGGAGTTCCCTATTTGAAGGAACACTGCTCTTCCAACGTGGGCATGTCGATCAAGGGTTTGATGGAGAATTCACTTCTGGCGTTTGTGTTTGGCTTTTGTTCCTCACGTTCTCAGGTAAGTAGGAGGGGTTCCTTTATGGCCCATTAATTGTGGCCTTTCTCTGCTGCTCCTTTACCAAGTAAGTTTGACTGTTATCCCTTGCCTTAAACACAGGCATGAAGAGCACCCGTTACCTACCCTTAGTTGGTAGTTCCAAATACATCTTTGCTTGCTCCTGCTCTCATAGCCATATAGAAGTATGTCCTTCTCTATGTGCTACCCAGTGTCAATAATTTTTAAAGCTTGAGGGTGTGTACATGGAGAGATCTCTTGTCTTTTGTGTATGTTTAAAACTTCCATAACAAAAATGAATCAAGTCAAGTTTATACTCATTTGGATGGCTACTAAGAAAACAAAAACAGCCATAGCTGGTTTGGCTTAGTGGATAGATCGTTGCCCTGGGGACTGAAGGGTCCCAGGTTTGAGTCCAGTCAAGGGCACACCCCCCCGATAGTGGGCTCAATCCCCCGTGGGGGGCGTGCGGGAGGCAGTCAGTCAGTCTCTCTCATCATTGATGTTTCTATCTCTCCCTCTTCCTTTCTGAAATCAATAAAAATATATTAAAACACACACAAAACAAGTGTCAGCAAGGATGTGGAGATACTGGAGCCCTTGTGTGTTTTTGGTGGGAATATAAAATTGTGCAACCACTGTAGAAAGCAGTATGGCATTCCTCAAAACATTAAAAATAGAATTATCATATGATCTAGGATTTCCACTTCTGAGAAGGGGGGTTCAAAGAGGTATTTTTATACTCAAGTGCATAGCAGCATTCACAATAGCCAAAAGATGAGAGCAATGGATGAATAAATAAACAAAATGTGGTATTTACATACAATGGAATATTGCTCAGCTTTACAAAGGAAGAAAATTCTGACATATGCTCCATCATGGATGAACCTTGAGAACATTATGCTAAGTGAAATAAACCAGTCACTAAAAGACAAGTACTGTTTGATCCCATTACATTGCCAAGCTCGACAAATTCATAGAGCCCAGCTGGTGTGGCTCGGTGATTTAGCACTGACCTACGAACCAGGAGGTCACAGTTCGATTCCTGGTCAGGGCACATGCCCAGGTTTGATCCCTAGTAGGGGGTGTGCAGGAGGCAGCTGATCAATGATTCGCTCTCATCATTAATCTGTTTCTCCCTCTTCCTCTCTGAAATCAATAAAAATATATTTTTTAAAAAGCTCCTAGACAGAAAGTAGAAAGGTTGTTGCCAGACGCTGGGGGTTATTTAATGGTTACAGTTTCAGTTTTGCAACATGGAAACAATCCTAAAAATGGATAGTGGTGATTTTTGCTCATCAACTATACACTTAAAAATTATTAAGATGGTAAATTTTGTGTTGTGTGTATTTTACTACAGTTTTTAAAGAGAATCAAGTTTCACTACCCTATAAAGTTAAACATAAGCCTACCCCATGACTCAGCAATTTCACTCCTAGGTATTTATTCAAGATATGAAAACGTGACAAAAAAACTTAATTGTTAAAGGATGTTCGTAGCAGCTTTATTCAGAATAACAAAAAACAGGCAACAAATTGAATGTCCATCAATAGGAAGTGGATAAACAAAATGTATCCTATTCATACAATGGAATACTAATCTGATACACATAGCAACATGGATGAATGTCAAAAACATCCTGAACAAAAGAAACCAGATACAAAACGGAAATACTATTTACATGAAGGTCAAGAACAGAAAAATTCTAACTATGGTGATACTGTGGGGGTAGAAATTAGAGTAGTGGTTGGGGATAGGGTGAGTGGGATGCAGAGAGGTCAGGGAGAT